ATGGCAGCAATGCAAGATAAGTTCTCAATCATTTTCTGTGGCTTGGACATTCTGCCTTCGGTCATTGAGATTGTGAGTCGTTGCACTCAAGAGCACCCCCTGACTTCGATCGCGTTGGTGACTCGCACAGTGAAAGGCGAATTGTTCCATGCGCTTCGTGGATGGCCGGTCCTAGCGGCGTGGGACAAGGGACACCATGTGTGGTGGACCAACTCTCAGTCACATGGACGCGCTCGTCACAACGTCAAGGTGTACTTCAAACCCTCGACGAGTATTGTGGCATGTCCTATTCGCCCAAAGCATCAACAAAATTTGTTGCTTGCGGGTAGCGTGAACGGGGAAAACGCAAAAATCCTTGTTGACACGGGTGCAACTGTTTCCCTCTTTAACGAAAAGTGGGCCACAGCACGCATGATCCTCGTTGAAGGACCGTCTTGCCCCATTCGCCTTGGTGATGATAGCATTATCCCAAGCAAAGGGCAGACACGGATCAACATGGATATTGAGGGTTATCACGAAGAAATTTGCGCGTATGTTTTACCCCTTCTCGCAGGCGTCGACCTTGTCCTTGGAATGGATTGGCTTCAAGCGAATGAAGTCAAGCTCGATTTCCAGGACAATACTGTCTCATTCTCAAAAAATGGTGACACAGTCCAATGGCAAGTGCCTAACGACTTGATCACAAACGAACAACAAACGTCGGAGCGTCCCGATGTGAGTTTTGCGCTCGCAAACGAGTTCGGACAGCATGTTCGACAAGCCGATACCTTCTTTGTGGTACAGCTTGAGAATGCTGAACACGAGATGCCTGGGGTCGAGGATTTCCCGCCTCAGATGAGAGCACTGGCGGACGAGTTTGCAGAGGTTTTTAAGCCCATCCCAGATGGCCTTCCTCCAGACCGTGCTGTCGGTCACACCATCCCAGTGGAGCCTGGAAAGCTCCCACCGTTTAGACCTCTGTATCGCCTCAGTCCAGCTGAGTACGAGGAGGCTAAACAACAAATTGAGGAGTACCTCAGGAAGGGATGGATTGAACCAAGCGCATCACCTTACGGAGCGCCGATCTTGTTCGTGAACAAAAAGGGCGGAGGTTTACGCATGTGCGTAGACTACCGTGCTCTGAACAAGATAACGGTGAAGAACAGGTATCCCCTACCGAGAATAGAGGACCTGTTCGACAAACTCCAGGGTGCCCAGTGGTTCAGCGCATTGGACCTCGCACAAGGGTATCACCAATTGCGCATCACTGAAGAAGATGTACCCAAGACGGCTTTCCGATCGCCGTTTGGTCATTTTCAGTGGCGAGTGCTGAGCTTTGGCTTGACCAATGCTCCTGCATCTTTTCAAAGAGCTATGAATGATGTCTTTCGCGAGGCGATTGGACAGTTCGTTCTAGTCTATCTGGATGACATCTTGGTTTATTCCAAGACAGAAGAGGAGCACACGCGACACCTTAAATGGGTGTTAGGGAAACTCCGAGAGCATAAGTTCTATGCTCGCCTATGGAAATGTCATTTCTACAAACGCGAGTTGGAATATCTTGGCCATCTCGTGGGAAATGATGGTCTCAAAGTAGACCCAAAGAAAGTTGTCGCAGTCCAAAACTGGCCGGTGCCACAAGATGTGGGTCAAATCAGGTCGTTTTTAGGACTGGCGAACTATTTTCGTCGATTTTTGCAGAATTATTCTACCGTTGTTGCTCCATTGACGGCCCTCACTCGCAAGAGTAGTGCTTGGCAATGGACACAACAATGCCAAAAGGCATTCGACGAGGTCAAGCGAATGCTGACCAATGCTCCGGTACTGGTTTTACCAGATCCGACAAAACCCTATGAGGTTGTTACTGACGCCTCATTGATTGGGATTGGGGCGGTCCTCTTGCAAGAAGGGAGACCAGTGGCATTTGAGAGTCGAAAGCTCTCCCCGGCAGAGCAGCGCTATACGACGTCCGAACAAGAACTGTTGGCGGTCGTTCATGCGCTACGCACATGGCGATGTTATCTGGAGGGTGTGGACTTTGTGGTTACAACTGATCACTGTCCAAACACCTATTTCGCCACCCAAGCCACGCTTACTCGACGTCAAGCCCGATGGGCGGAACTCCTTAGTGGGTTCACCTTCGATATTCGATATCGAGCAGGTTCGACGAACCTGGCTGACCCCCTCAGCAGACAGCCGATAGGGGCAGCAACATGGCTAGACGACACAGAAGATGCGGCAGTATTTTCTGCTTGCTTCAGTGTCCTAGCAACGGCTCGAGTGAGTGAGATTACCTTCACTGGTTTTCTGAAACGCATCCGCACAGGGTATCAGATTGACCCCTGGTTTCAGAACCCACGAAACACGAAGGAACTCATGTGGGAGCACGAGCTCTGGTGGCGTAAGAATGAGATTGTTGTACCTCACGTGGGTAACCTGCGGAATGATATTCTGGAAGAAATACATGCCGCTAAGTACGGAGGACACCTAGGGGTCAAGAAGACGAGGTGGGCCTTGAGTGATGTGTACTGGTGGCCGGGATTGGGCACTGAGGTCCAACAATTCGTGGCGCGATGCGATGCATGCGCACGAAATAAAACGGACACAAAGAAGCCTGGTGGTTTGCTTCAACCACTCGAGATCCCGAATGAACCTTGGGAGAGCGTATCCTTGGATTTTATCACGGATCTTCCCAAGTCTCGCGATGGCCATACAGCGATCCTAGTGTTTGTGGATCGTCTGACAAAAATGGTGCATTTCGTGGCTACGACAACTGACGTATCTGCGGAAGATACGGCCAAATTGTTTGTGGCGCACGTTTTCCGCTTACACGGGTTACCACGTGTATTGGTGTCCGACCGGGATCCGCGCTTCACAAGCCGGTTCTGGCAAGAAGTCACACGGACACTAGGAACGAAGCTTAAGTTGTCATCGGCGTTCCACCCACAAACCGATGGGCAGACGGAACGAACAAACCGGACACTTGAGCAGATGCTTCGTTCATTTATTGGTCCAACTTAGGATGATTGGGACGAGTTGTTGCCTGTCGTTGAATTCGCAGTGAACAATTCAGTTCATGAAGGTACACGTGAGAAACCTTTCATTCTGAACTATGGTCGGCATCCCACAACGCCTGCTACGCATGGGATCGGAGGATTGAAAATTCCAGCCGCTAAAGACTTTGTTGGCAAGCAGCAAGAAGCGCTTAAGTCTGCTCGCCATTGGCTACAACTCTCTCAGCAGCGACAAAAGTCTTACGCCGACATGAAACGCCGGGAAGTCTCGTTTGAGGTTGGAGACAAAGTTTTGTTGAGCACGAAGAACATTCGTCTCAAAATCCCTGGAGCACGAAAGTTGTTCCCTCGATGGATTGGGCCCTTCGAGGTGATCAGGCGCGTTGGTGTGGTAGCTTACAAGCTTAAGCTACCTGACACTTTACAGATTCACAACGTCTTCCATGTGTCTCTGTTGAACAAGTACGTTGCAGAAGGCAAGTACTTACCGCCACCAACAATCGTCCTGGGGGAGGAACTGTTTTATGAAGTCGAACGAGTGCTGATGCATCGTGATCGACAGCGCGGCCGCAAAACAGTACGAGAGTTCCTCATCAAGTGGAAAGGCTACGGGCCTGAACACAACTCATGGGAGCCAGAAGAGCATTTGACTGAAACTGCAGTTCAGTCATACATGACAGACATGGCTCGACGAGCCGCCGCACAGCCAATGGAGGGTGTTGACCCTGGTCGTAATGTAACACGGCGTGCTCGAAGCGCTCGTCCTCAGAAGCACCCTAAGGCAACGGGGACGTTGCCACCTAGGGGGGGAGGAGTGTAACGCATGACCTACCCTGCCTAGCTACCTCTAGTTTCCTAAGTCAACATCGAGAGAATGCTCGATGGGAAATGACGCGATGGGAAACGGAGAGGTTGAGTTGGAGGGGAAGGTTGGTTTGGGTTGTTCCAAACCTCAACCTTGAGGCTTGGAAACTTCCAACCCATCAAAGTGAAGATTGGAAAGGTTGGATTCCCAACCAATCAAATTGTGCCAGTTGTGGTTACAATCCAACCAAACACAAAACAACCATACAACACAATTAAGTTGGGTTTTCCCAACCAAACAAATGTGCCACCTAGGCTCCAAGCCTCCTAGCTCCCCAACCATGGAAGCCATGGTTGGGAAGAGCCCCAAGGGGTATTGTGGAAGGGGTTGGAGCTTCCAAGGCCCATTCCCACTTCCCAACTCCAACAATCTAACTTGGAAATGGGATTTCTCTAAGTTCTTGGATTCTCCTAACAAGCTGACCTACACAATTAGGATTGTGATTTCCTAAGAACAAGTTCTACAAGAAGCTCTCTATTTGCTAAGGCTTCATCAGCAACTACAACTTCTCTCCTCAAGATCTTTCAAGCTTAGCTTAAGGCTTGGTTATCCCTTGGTGGGATTAGCTAGATTCTTTCAAGCCTTGTATCTTGATTTTATATAAGTTGTCAAGGAGGATTTTATATTTAACACACGGTTGCCCGTTGTTATAAGGGCCGTGGTTGTTACATTGGTATCTAGAGCTAGGGTTATCCTAAGCCTAGTGGGGATTTTGCCCCTAGAGATTTTTTTTTATAGATCTTAGAGTTGTGATTTCTCTTTAAAGAGAATACTCAAGATCTGGAAGCTTGAAGAGTTCAAGATCTACAAGATCTACAACTGCAATTTCAAGCTAAGAAGAGAGATTTTTATCTCTCTTGCCCACCTTTTGGTTGAAGACTCTCTACTGTTGAGTAGTGGAGTATAAACTTAGATCTGGAGGATTTGTTGAGGGTTATACAAGTTCTCTTCATTGAGATTTGGATAGACCCTGCCCTTTCACTTAGGTGATTGGGAGTGCTTGACAACAAATCTGTTACCTTGGGTAACTTGGATTATTCTGTAGAAGAAATTTCTTTTATAAGAATTTCTTGCTTTACCATTGAGGTGGTAAAAAGACTTTAACAGAATCAACCCAGATCTTACAAGCTCCCTTAATCCTTATGGCATTTGGCCAAGAGAAGGATATGGCAAGGGAGGAAGGGCCCACTGCACCTAATGAGGTGGTGAGCAATGCTGCTGAGATTGACCTCAATCAAGATGAGGCAATGGCTGACATTGAATTGGATGATATTGAGGACTTGGACCTGGACCTTGAAGCTGAGAACCATGATGAAGCTGAGCACCATGGTGAAGCTGAGCACCATGGTGAAGCTGAGAACCATGGTGCCCCTGATAACCTTGGGGAAGAGGATAACACCTGTGGGAAGGAGGCCACTGGTGATGAAAATGACTTCACTGAGGGTGAAGGCACGACTTATCCTATCTCCGAGGAGATTGTCCAACTCCAGGCTAAGGTGGCAACTCAGAATATCACCATCCTGCAGCAGCAGACGTCCATTGATGGACTCAAGAAACACACTCAAAACCTCGAGGCTCGACTGAGCATTACCATGAAGGAGGTTACTGAGTTCCGTCGCAGCCTGGGCACTAAGAACCGTGAAATTGAGTGGCTTCAGAAGACTTGCAATAATCTGCAAGTATCATTCAACAAGCTCAATGAGCAGGTGACCAAACTTAGGAGGGAGGGTATCTACGAACCTCCTCCTGGGCGCAGGCCCGCTCCTGCTGCTCAGTCGGCACCCGCTCCACCCGCACCCCCAGCGGTAGGCGCTGCGACGGCTATGCATCAGCCACCTCCAACTGAGACCTCGCCCTTTGGGTCTCTCTCGGCGCCTCTGCCTGAGTTTAACCATCGCAAGACGGAGGTGCAGCCTTGGCTTGATCTGGTGAATGAAACCATGATCCTTGCGAATGTGCGTCCTGAGGCTCGCGTCACTGCAGCCACTCGTGCATTGGACGAGGTGGCCCGCAGGGCAGTGTATGGCGCTAAGAAGCAGGCGCATGGACCATTTGGGTGGCCGGAGTTTTGCACCGCGCTGAAAGAGGCATTCATGGTCAAGAAGTCCGACCTGGAACTGCGCGGACGCCTTGAGCATATCAAGTGTCATGACCGTCCGGTGCAGGAATATGCGGTCGAGTTGGAGGCCGCAGCACGCTCGCTCCAGAAGCCCTTGTCTGAGGAGGAGATGATGCACCTCTTTATGAAAGGCCTCCCTATCAACCTGCAAGAGGCACACATGATCGGCGACATGACCAATTGGACGACTTACAAGGAGCTGAAGGAGCAGGTGATCAAAACTGACACCGTCATTCGCACATATATCCATGGTCCTGCAAAGGCGGACCAGCAGCCCCGTGCTGAGGGCTCCGGTGGTCGTGGGAACTGGCCCCAGAACGCCAATGGCGGAGGCAGTTCGAATAAGCGACCTTTCCAGCAGCGTGAGCACCAGCCTGGACCGCAGGCCAAGAGGGCTAACGGGGGGGGAGGTCATGGCCCTAACAAGCCGGACTTCTCCAAGATGCGGTGTCGCGGCTGTGGATTTATTGGACACATCCAAAAGCAGTGCCGTAACAAGAACCCAATCAAGTACTCTGGGAAGCCGAAGCCAGGCGGCGCGGGACCTTCTGGAAAGAAGGATTTTCAGAAGCCCAACTAGGGTGTGGGTACCTAGTTGGAGGAGTAGATCGAGTGGATGAGGCATATGTGCTATGTGATGATGATCTATTAAAGCTAGAGAAGCTTGCTGATTGCAAAATCTCTTGTTTGTTTGCCTCTTCTTTTAATAAAAACTCTGTTTTTTACTCTCGATCGTACCCACTTGAGAACATCACCATGGCAGCAATGCAAGATAAGTTCTCAATCATTTTCTGTGGCTTGGACATTCTGCCTTCGGTCATTGAGATTGTGAGTCGTTGCACTCAAGAGCACCCCCTGACTTCGATCGCGTTGGTGACTCGCACAGTGAAAGGCGAATTGTTCCATGCGCTTCGTGGATGGCCGGTCCTAGCGGCGTGGGACAAGGGACACCATGTGTGGTGGACCAACTCTCAGTCACATGGACGCGCTCGTCACAACGTCAAGGTGTACTTCAAACCCTTGACGAGTATTGTGGCATGTCCTATTCGCCCAAAGCATCAACAAAATTTGTTGCTTGCGGGTAGCGTGAACGGGGAAAACGCAAAAATCCTTGTTGACACGGGTGCAACTGTTTCCCTCTTTAACGAAAAGTGGGCCACAGCACGCATGATCCTCGTTGAAGGACCGTCTTGCCCCATTCACCTTGGTGATGATAGCATTATCCCAAGCAAAGGGCAGACACGGATCAACATGGATATTGAGGGTTATCACGAAGAAATTTGCGCGTATGTTTTACCCCTTCTCGCAGGCGTCGACCTTGTCCTTGGAATGGATTGGCTTCGAGCGAATGAAGTCAAGCTCGATTTCCAGGACAATACTGTCTCATTCTCAAAAAATGGTGACACAGTCCAATGGCAAGTGCCTAACGACTTGATCACAAACGAACAACAAACGTCGGAGCGTCCCGATGTGAGTTTTGCGCTCGCAAACGAGTTCGGACAGCATGTTCGACAAGCCGATACCTTCTTTGTGGTACAGCTTGAGAATGCTGAACACGAGATGCCTGGGGTCGAGGATTTCCCGCCTCAGATGAGAGCACTGGCGGACGAGTTTGCAGAGGTTTTTAAGCCCATCCCAGATGGCCTTCCTCCAGACCGTGCTGTCGGTCACACCATCCCAGTGGAGCCTGGAAAGCTCCCACCGTTTAGACCTCTGTATCGCCTCAGTCCAGCTGAGTACGAGGAGGCTAAACAACAAATTGAGGAGTACCTCAGGAAGGGATGGATTGAACCAAGCGCATCACCTTACGGAGCGCCGATCTTGTTTGTGAACAAAAAGGGCGGAGGTTTACGCATGTGCGTAGACTACCGTGCTCTGAACAAGATAACGGTGAAGAACAGGTATCCCCTACCGAGAATAGAGGACCTGTTCGACAAACTCCAGGGTGCCCAGTGGTTCAGCGCATTGGACCTCGCACAAGGGTATCACCAATTGCGCATCACTGAAGAAGATGTACCCAAGACGGCTTTCCGATCGCCGTTTGGTCATTTTCAGTGGCGAGTGCTGAGCTTTGGCTTGACCAATGCTCCTGCATCTTTTCAAAGAGCTATGAATGATGTCTTTCGCGAGGCGATTGGACAGTTCGTTCTAGTCTATCTGGATGACATCTTGGTTTATTCCAAGACAGAAGAGGAGCACACGCGACACCTTAAATGGGTGTTAGGGAAACTCCGAGAGCATAAGTTCTATGCTCGCCTATGGAAATGTCATTTCTACAAACGCGAGTTGGAATATCTTGGCCATCTCGTGGGAAATGATGGTCTCAAAGTAGACCCAAAGAAAGTTGTCGCAGTCCAAAACTGGCCGGTGCCACAAGATGTGGGTCAAATCAGGTCGTTTTTAGGACTGGCGAACTATTTTCGTCGATTTTTGCAGAATTATTCTACCGTTGTTGCTCCATTGACGGCCCTCACTCGCAAGAGTAGTGCTTGGCAATGGACACAACAATGCCAAAAGGCATTCGACGAGGTCAAGCGAATGCTGACCAATGCTCCGGTACTGGTTTTACCAGATCCGACAAAACCCTATGAGGTTGTTACTGACGCCTCATTGATTGGGATTGGGGCGGTCCTCTTGCAAGAAGGGAGACCAGTGGCATTTGAGAGTCGAAAGCTCTCCCCGGCAGAGCAGCGCTATACGACGTCCGAACAAGAACTGTTGGCGGTCGTTCATGCGCTACGCACATGGCGATGTTATCTGGAGGGTGTGGACTTTGTGGTTACAACTGATCACTGTCCAAACACCTATTTCGCCACCCAAGCCACGCTTACTCGACGTCAAGCCCGATGGGCGGAACTCCTTAGTGGGTTCACCTTCGATATTCGATATCGAGCAGGTTCGACGAACCTGGCTGACCCCCTCAGCAGACAGCCGATAGGGGCAGCAACATGGCTAGACGACACAGAAGATGCGGCAGTATTTTCTGCTTGCTTCAGTGTCCTAGCAACGGCTCGAGTGAGTGAGATTACCTTCACTGGTTTTCTGAAACGCATCCGCACAGGGTATCAGATTGACCCCTGGTTTCAGAACCCACGAAACACGAAGGAACTCATGTGGGAGCACGAGCTCTGGTGGCGTAAGAATGAGATTGTTGTACCTCACGTGGGTAACCTGCGGAATGATATTCTGGAAGAAATACATGCCGCTAAGTACGGAGGACACCTAGGGGTCAAGAAGACGAGGTGGGCCTTGAGTGATGTGTACTGGTGGCCGGGATTGGGCACTGAGGTCCAACAATTCGTGGCGCGATGCGATGCATGCGCACGAAATAAAACGGACACAAAGAAGCCTGGTGGTTTGCTTCAACCACTCGAGATCCCGAATGAACCTTGGGAGAGCGTATCCTTGGATTTTATCACGGATCTTCCCAAGTCTCGCGATGGCCATACAGCGATCCTAGTGTTTGTGGATCGTCTGACAAAAATGGTGCATTTCGTGGCTACGACAACTGACGTATCTGCGGAAGATACGGCCAAATTGTTTGTGGCGCACGTTTTCCGCTTACACGGGTTACCACGTGTATTGGTGTCCGACCGGGATCCGCGCTTCACAAGCCGGTTCTGGCAAGAAGTCACACGGACACTAGGAACGAAGCTTAAGTTGTCATCGGCGTTCCACCCACAAACCGATGGGCAGACGGAACGAACAAACCGGACACTTGAGCAGATGCTTCGTTCATTTATTGGTCCAACTCAGGATGATTGGGACGAGTTGTTGCCTGTCGTTGAATTCGCAGTGAACAATTCAGTTCATGAAGGTACACGTGAGAAACCTTTCATTCTGAACTATGGTCGGCATCCCACAACGCCTGCTACGCATGGGATCGGAGGATTGAAAATTCCAGCCGCTAAAGACTTTGTTGGCAAGCAGCAAGAAGCGCTTAAGTCTGCTCGCCATTGGCTACAACTCTCTCAGCAGCGACAAAAGTCTTACGCCGACATGAAACGCCGGGAAGTCTCGTTTGAGGTTGGAGACAAAGTTTTGTTGAGCACGAAGAACATTCGTCTCAAAATCCCTGGAGCACGAAAGCTGTTCCCTCGATGGATTGGGCCCTTCGAGGTGATCAGGCGCGTTGGTGTGGTAGCTTACAAGCTTAAGCTACCTGACACTTTACAGATTCACAACGTCTTCCATGTGTCTCTGTTGAACAAGTACGTTGCAGAAGGCAAGTACTTACCGCCACCAACAATCGTCCTGGGGGAGGAACGGTTTTATGAAGTCGAACGAGTGCTGATGCATCGTGATCGACAGCGCGGCCGCAAAACAGTACGAGAGTTCCTCATCAAGTGGAAAGGCTACGGGCCTGAACACAACTCATGGGAGCCAGAAGAGCATTTGACTGAAACTGCAGTTCAGTCATACATGACAGACATGGCTCGACGAGCCGCCGCACAGCCAATGGAGGGTGTTGACCCTGGTCGTAATGTAACACGGCGTGCTCGAAGCGCTCGTCCTCAAAAGCACCCTAAGGCAACGGGGACGTTGCCACCTAGGGGGGGAGGAGTGTAACGCATGACCTACCCTGCCTAGCTACCTCTAGTTTCCTAAGTCAACATCGAGAGAATGCTCGATGGGAAATGACGCGATGGGAAACGGAGAGGTTGAGTTGGAGGGGAAGGTTGGTTTGGGTTGTTCCAAACCTCAACCTTGAGGCTTGGAAACTTCCAACCCATCAAAGTGAAGATTGGAAAGGTTGGATTCCCAACCAATCAAATTGTGCCAGTTGTGGTTACAATCCAACCAAACATAAAACAACCATACAACACAATTAAGTTGGGTTTTCCCAACCAAACAAATGTGCCACCTAGGCTCCAAGCCTCCTAGCTCCCCAACCATGGAAGCCATGGTTGGGAAGAGCCCCAAGGGGTATTGTGGAAGGGGTTGGAGCTTCCAAGGCCCATTCCCACTTCCCAACTCCAACAATCTAACTTGGAAATGGGATTTCTCTAAGTTCTTGGATTCTCCTAACAAGCTGACCTACACAATTAGGATTGTGATTTCCTAAGAACAAGTTCTACAAGAAGCTCTCTATTTGCTAAGGCTTCATCAGCAACTACAACTTCTCTCCTCAAGATCTTTCAAGCTTAGCTTAAGGCTTGGTTATCCCTTGGTGGGATTAGCTAGATTCTTTCAAGCCTTGTATCTTGATTTTATATAAGTTGTCAAGGAGGATTTTATATTTAACACACGGTTGCCCGTTGTTATAAGGGCCGTGGTTGTTACAGCAAACCCTAATTCAAAACAAGTCGCCCGCAGCGTTGGGCAGGGAAGAGTGGTGGGTATCTGCACCGAGAACTTACAGAGTCGCTGTGCCCCAAGAAAGCCGTCCGCATCACCCACTGCAGTGATTCTAAACTCGTGAGCATGCGGGCTGCTTTCTCGCCAGCTGTGCGCATTTCCACTCATCCTTACCCGCAAGCATCCACCGCGGCACAGAATGCCATGTGCAGCCAAGCGCGAATTAGGGATGCCGAGCACCTGCTTTCTTGGACGTCCGCAGGGCCGCGCTCTGGGCGTGAATTCGAACAGAGCATGCTTAGGCCAGACGTTCGTCACAGCCTCGAATTTCCTCCGACATCTCGACCCTCGATATCAAACCCGCAAAATCCTCTGACAAGACGACTACTACCAGACTCCTTTCATATCGTCACCCAACTCTCAACGTGACGACCGAGAACCCAGAGCTTACGTGACTACTCATCTCTCTTTTTCTTCCAGACATTCCCAGTGAGTGCAAGCAGCACCTTAACCCCATGGCTCCAAAGCGCCTGCCCGTCACCACCCTCCTCCTGCTCCTCCTCTCGTCTTTCCTGGCCCTCCCCACGCGCGCGGACGACAAGTCAGCCGTAGATGCGATATTCAAGGCCGCCGGCGCGTACACGAGCGGCGGGTCGCTGCCTCCAGTGTGCGAGCGCGGAGGAATCACCTGCGAGAACGAGCGCGTGGTGCAAATCGAATTCTCGCAATGCGCCGACCCGCCCGCCCCCACCATGCTGGACGGCACGCTGCACTCGGCGCTGGGCTCGCTGGGTAGCCTGAGGGCGCTCAACTTGTCGTGCAACAGCCTGCGCGGCGCCATCCCCAGCACGCTCACCAAGCTGCAGCACCTCACGGCGCTGGACCTGAGCTTCAACCGCCTGCGCACGCGCGTGCCGCGCCACCTCTTCCGCATCCCCGCCGTGCACACGCTGCGCTTGCGCAACGCCGGGCTCTTGGGCTGGCTGCCCCGGAAACCCAGAAGCTTCTCCCACACGCTGCGCCACGTGGACCTGGCGCACAACCGCATGTGGGACTCCCTCTGTCCGCAACATGCGCAATCTGGAGAGCCTCGACGTGAGCTTCAACCGCTTCAGCAGCACCATCCCCAAATCCCTCTCCCGCATCAAGACCCTGCGCAGCCTCGATCTGAGCTTCAACCGCTTCACCGGCACGATCCCCGCGGGGCTGACTACGCTGCACAGCATGGTGAACCTGAGGCTCGCAGGCAACCGCATTGGGGGCGTTATTCCGGCGGGGCTGACCCACATGACATGGCTGCAGGTGATGGACCTGAGCCGCAACCAGCTGCGCACGCGCATCCCCGCTGCCATCCTCTCCATGCGATCCTTAGAGCAGCTGCACCTGCAGCACAATTATCTCCACGGCACCTTCCCCCGCACCCCGGTCGCCCTGTCCCACAGCATCAAGCACTTGGACGTGTCACACAACGGGCTGTCAGGGCTGCTGCCAACGATGCTGCAGAACCTGGGCAACCTCACGCACCTCAACGTGGCGTGGAACGGGCTGGACGGCACCGTGCCCACCACTCTGAACAACCTGCCCCTGCGCCACCTGGACCTCAGCCACAACGCCTTCAAAGGGTCGCTTGGGGTGACCGCCCAGGACGCGCTGTACGGGCAGAGCAACCGGTTTGACGGCGTGGTGGCAGCGGCGTTTGCTGAAGGGAACAAGGGAAGTAGTGAGGTGCCAGGCACCCAGGTGAACCCACACGTCTTATAATCTCCCCCTCCTGCTCCATGCCCCATCCACGGAACAACATTCTCATCATCATCTTAATCCCACCGCCCTTCCCTCACAAAATCCCCTCCCTTCCTCCGCCCTTATCTCCCCCACAAGCCTTGCCCACTCCCCCACCCTCCCTCTTCCCTTGCTCCGCCACCCCACCAGGCGCGCTCCCGACCCTTGTCAACTGCCCGGCAGTGCTGGACCTATCGAACAACGTCTTGAATTCTCTCCCCTCCTGCTCCATGCCCCAAGCCCCATGCACGGAATAACATTCTCACCGGCCTTCCCTTACAAACCCCCCTCCCTTCCTCCCCCCCTTTCTCTCCCCCCACCTTCCCCCCTCCCCCACTCCCCCACCCGCCCTCGCCCCCTTGCCCCGCCAACCCGCCAGGCGCGCTCCCGACCCTTGTCAACTGCCCGGCGGTGCTGGACATATCGAACAACGGGCTGCAAGGCGAGCTCACAGCGGCCATGCTGGCACCCTGTGTCGACGCCGCGCCTCTCACAGACCTCGACCTCTCGAGCAACAAGTTCACCGGACCCATCCCCGCCGCGCTCTCGCAACTCCGCTTCCTCCACTGTCTCAACCTCAGCCAATACGCGTTCTTCGGCACCATTTCCTCCGGCTTCGGCGAGCTGTGCTTGCTGCGCGATTTCGACCTGTCGTATAACCGCCTCGAAGGGATCATTTCGGGGAATCTGGGCGACAGCTTGGCGCTGAAGACGGTCGCGCTGGGCGGGAATCGTCTGGTCTGGGAAGTGCCTTACTGCCTGAGGAAGTTCCCCGTGGCGAGCTTCAGGCCCGACAACTGGCAGCTGTGTGGCACGCCGCTGCCCGCCTGTGTCCCCGCTGAAGCCATGATGTAACGAGTGCGAGGCTTGAAGCAGGTGAAACGCGCGAAGGGATCCCAAAAGGTGCGCGGGTGGAGAGATGGAGGAGCGCTAGTCGTTGGCGAATGTCGTACATGGTAGGTAGCGATAGTTGTACTAGGAATCATGAGGCCCAAAAACCAATCCGAGGCCCTGGTTGGTTGTACCCAGGCCCTCAGATTCAATTTGAGGGACGTAGATGGATGAGGGTCCCTCTGCGTGAAATCCCTGATTGACATTGTCACCTAGAAAAAAAGCCTGAAAAATCAGTGTCACTTAAAAAAAAACCCTGAAGCATCAGTGTTCCCTGAGAAAAAAGGCTGTTTTTTCTAAACGACATGGCTGACTGCCTCTTGGTACACCAGGCGGGAACGCGAGGAAACCCCCTGCGAATGGAAAGCATGGAGCAGAATGGGATGGGAGCCTGGATAGCAGATAGCACGGATGGGCGGCCTGGATGCATCAGTGCTTGCCAGCACGACCTAGACAGAACACGCGACAGGACCACAGGTGCAAGCAATAGGCCAGAAACCATCGCATCGCAGCCTGCCAGCATCGCTTCGCTGTGTTGCAACCTTGTCATTGGTCAACCCATGTGCCAATGATCTGACCAGACGCGCCAACAAAGCAGCCCTCAAAGTGAAAAGACACAGGGCAAATTTGTCTCGTAGCCACCGCCAGGCACTGCTGACACCGCGGGAATCTGAGATTCCCTGTACTTCCTGGCAACTACACTTGGAACGTGTAGGAATCTCATTTAGTGTCAGTTTCAGCACAACGTAGTGGAATCAGTGTCCTAAAAAAAAAAAACCTGAAAGTTCAGAGTCATCTGGCAGGAAAAGGCTGAAAAATCAGTCCCACAAAAATCTGAACACTGGAAAATCAGGGTAGGTACAAAAAAATCCCTGAAAATCAGGAATTTCAGGAAAAATAACCTGATATCGTAGGGCCTGGTTGTACCCTCTAAGACGCACCCCATTGTAGCCTAGCATGCACATGATGTAATTTGACAATATAAACTTGGACAGGGAGCAGAAAGGGTGACTTGAGTCATTTGGACTGGGAGATCATGTTTATAATTTGACAGGTAAAGTTCGCGTTATGGCAGAATTAGCTGGCAGGTGCAAGACAGATCAGAGCTCTGCCCAGCATGGGTACCAGCCTTGTAGGGCTCAGGTTTGGTTTTTGCCTACTCCCGATTGGCAGTGAAGCGTTTTCAAAAACCCTTGCGAGCAGTGTGTGTTTTTGCTTCACAATGCTAGAGCAGTGTAACATCAATTCTGGAAAAATTTACTCTAGATCATCTGTGTAGGTATATGCTGTGCACTGATGCAAATACGCTTAGTCTAATTTCATTACACGTGATTTATTAAACAATTAAATTATAGTCACTCAATATCTATCATGCTTGTCCTCGCTATCAGACGACTCCACTATTGCTTTGCCGTTTCCAGCACAGGGCTTGTACGGGGTTATTGTTTTCGCGGGTCCCTCTTCTTTTGCTTCCGCCATATGACGACCACGTCGGGCCATTTGTACTCATAGTCCAGCATGTTGAGAGTCATCAGCTCGGATGGACGGGCGTCGCCGAGCGATGTGCGCATCCAGCTTTTGATAACATTTTGACGGCTGAATCCGCGCTCGCACTCCACGGTGCTCAACGGAATCACTCCAAGCGCCTGCCACATCGACACCAGGTTGGGGAAGCTGCGTGGCCAGTCCTTGGTCTTCAGCATCTTCGAAAGCCATTGGTAGAAGTCTTCATCCTCGTAGTGGCGCGACATGACGTGGCAGAAGCTCTTCAGTTCCAGCTCCGCCGTACGGTGGTTGAAGCCTGCCACGTGAACATAAAACAAAAGTCACAATCAGTAGTGTACCGACTTCGCACTAGCAAACAACACATGGATGGAAATTGACTGCCACGTGAACATCAACACAACTGGCAGCCTGTTCTTGAAGACACGCGCGTTGGCATCCAGCCACTGTACCACCCGTCGCTCCCGTTTGTCTGTCGCTTCTGGCCACGTCTCCACCTTGTACAGCTTGCTGCCCTCCATGTCCTTCAGGCCGTACATGCGTGTGTGCAGATTTGTCGCCACCTCCAGCGCAAACGCCTTACAAAGCTTGATGCAGTCGGCCATCGATCCACCGAACTTGTGCCCTTTTATCGGCTCCTGCTCAGCTTGATCTCATGCGATGTTGGCTCGCCCTCAACATCCACGCCGTCCACTTTGATCTTCCTTTCCCTTTGGCCATACGCGTGCGATGAATGGCGACAGCAGCTTGCTCACTCCCCCTCCGAAACCGTTGTCGTATTCCACGTAGCGCAGCCTGATGTAGGCGATCGTGCGGTCCACCTCCTAGTGCATGAGCGTGATGTCAACCTGAGATTGAGGCGGGAACATGAAGATTGCGTTAAAAGGTTGTTCAATTTTGGCATAGTGAAAGCACACGAACCAGCAATACAAGAATCACTTACTTTCCGTCGCTGGAAGAATTTGTTGAGGGCGTTGATCCCCGCTAGAAGATCCGCCAAGAAGTAGACGCAGAAGTGAAACTTCAGCGTCTGAAGCGTGGCGGCCAACTTGTTGCCGTACTCAATGAATACCACGACCGGCGCACCAAGGACCTTGCACGGCCGTTGCACAGCATCTCCACGCGACAGCCACCTCTCGTCAAAAAGCCCCTGGTGCTCCAGGCTTGTCTTGTGAAATTCTTGCTGCAGCTCCTTGAAGTGCTCATGCTAGACGGAAGACTTCGTGACGATGTTGCCAAGCCCTCGGATTGCAGCGTCGACGATGTCTAGGTCCTTGTACTTCAGCGCCGACTCCTTCACACCTAGTACTTCTCTGCACAATAAAACACTTGAGCATTAGGCCACTTGTAGTAGTCGGATAGAACAGTTGGTGATGAACGTAAACGATGCTTACCTATGTGCGATGCAATACGTGCCGACGAGATGAGGGATGCGCCCACGGAGGCGCACCACAAGCCCCCTCTCGCAGCCAACCATCACACCCGCGCCGTCGATGCTGATGGCGACGATCCTCTGCAGATCTAGGCCGACGGTCTCCAAGTGGCCCAGCAAGACGGTGAAGATAGAAGCAGCGTCACACTTGTGGACGGTTAGCAGTGCAAAGAACTCGGTCGCGAACACCACCAGATGCTTCCTGCGCGCTCTGTTTGTGCTCTCGTCAAAGCTGATGCCGATCCACGGTGACGCGTGTATGTACATCAGCTGTTGTTGCTGCTGATAAATGCTCATCGCCTTCACCATCTCCTGGAAACCGTACTTGCAAGAAGCGCATACATGGATAAGTCAGCGCAATTGTTGTGAACACACCCTCTACATCACATAACCGCCCTGTACTCACTCAGTGATGTAAACGCCGTAGCCCTGCTGAGGGATGTCAGAAACACCCTCCCTGGCCAGAAACTCAACGAGGCGCGGGAACATTGAGATCGGTGCATCCTCGTCGCAAACAAACTGAATGCTCCGCATGAGGCGCAGAGCAATGTGCTTCGTTCTGTGCTCCAGTCTGTGCTCCTGACACAAGGCAATGGCTGCCTTGTTGTCGACGTACAGCACTGGAGGAGAACGAGGCCGCTCTCCAAGGTCGGTCAGCAAGTAGGTGAGCCAGCGTAGCTCTTGGGCCGCCATGGCTGTGGCGTAGATCTCAGCCTTACAACTGGAGCTGAGAACAGAAGAAGAGCGAGTAGAACGCCAAGAAACAGAACCAGAGCCAAGACTGAAGGTGTAACCCTGAGACGACCGCTGAGTAGCCTGGTCGTCTGCCCAAGAAGCGTCTGAGTGCCCAGTGAGAACAACTGGGACTCGCCCTCCACGCACTAGCCCCATGCCCGACGTACTGCACAAGTAGCGCAACACCCTCTTAGTTGCATCCATGTGCTCCTTCCGGTGACGGCCGGGAGCGACATAGCGTGCAAGAATGCTAAGAGGGTATGCAAGGTCAGGTCGAGTGCAGGTCATCAGGTACATGAGGCAACCCCCAAGCTCTGGATACGGGCCACTCGACTCTACGGACTCATCCGAAGGCAGAGCTGAGAGCGAGTGACCGGTAGGCAGAGGAGTGGGCTGAGGCGAGGAGTACGTGAAGCGGAAGCGCTGAAGGACCTGCTGCACCATGTGTGACTGAGTCAAGGTGATGGTGCGGCGTGCTCTGTCCCGGGTGATCCGCAAGCCAAGATAGCTTGTCAGTTCACCCAGGTCTGTGCACGTGTGTCTCTTCTGCAGCTCCGACTTCACGTGGGCGAGTGCCGCAGTGTCAGCAGTGGCAAAGACCAAGTCGTCGACGTACACGAGGATGTAGAACGGCGGCAGTGAGGCGTCGCTGCGTAGAAACAGCGACGGGTCACCAGTAGAAGGCGCGAACCCAAGAGCCGCAAGTGTAGTCCTCAGTGTGTCGTGCCACTCACGTGGCGCCTGGCGGAGACCGTAGACTGGCCGTCGGAGGCTCCACTGGGTACCAGGAGGGAACGACCCAGTGAAGCCAGGTGGGCGGGGCAGCCAGATCTCCTCGTGCAAGCTGCCCTGCAGGAAAGCTGTGCTGAAGTCAAGAGAGTGGAGCTCGTAGTCACGCTGAGCGGCGACGTGCAGCAGAACCCGAAGAGTGGTCATCTTCGGGGTCGGGGAGAAGGTCTGGAAGAAGTCAACTCCCTCTCGCTGACTGAAGCCTCGTGCAACGTAACGCGCCTTGAAGACAGGCGGAGAGCCCGGCGGCCGCTTCACCCTGAAAATCCACATGCCACTGACGATGTTCGCCCCAAGCGGGGGAACCTCGTCAACGTAGGTGCCTGTGGACTTCCAGGAAGCCATCTCTGTGTCCATGGCTGACTGCCACTAAGAGGAGTAGGGACCGGCCATCGCCTCTGCGTAAGAGCGTGGGGTCGGGATGTCTGGTGCATCCGGGTCTCCCTCAGGGGCAACAAGCATGGACACGAGATGGGGCAAAGCGGCAGCAATGCACTCAAACTCC